CGCGCAGCCGATTGGAGGAGGTGCCCCGGAGCAGGTTTAAAGGGCTGTATGAACAACCTCGCGGGTACGCCGCCGCTGCACCTCTCGCACACGCTAACCACGAGCTACACGCAGCTAACCTCGCGTACACGTTAACTACGAGCTACATAGTGGCGAGCGCACACACGCGGGTAAAATACACGCTCGTACGCAAACACAGGATACCACGACGAGAAGGCTCACAGTACCATGCACCCCTCTCCGCACTCGCAGGGGCGACACGACAAGGTTTATTGACTACTGGTGCTTTATTCCCCCGAGAATAATAAGCTAAACTACCCGTGTAAGTGTGGGCCAGCAGGGCAGGTCTAACCTATCTCCCGGCGGTCTAGGACTCAATCTGTCCCGTCTCTCCCCAATCCCTCTCCCTAAGGATATTCCCCTTAATCTCACCTCTCTCCTCCGTACTCACGGTTCGACTCCGAGGTGCAAGAAGCCGCGGAAAGGCGAGGCTGCATGTAGTCCTGGCTGGGAACGAGGCCTGGCTGCGCTGCGACTCGTCTCACGGACGTTCCAGTAGCAGGCACGATGACTCCTCCGATCCTTGACTCCAGAAGAACCCGACTGACTTGCCCCTAGCTTCCCTGCCATTTCTATTGTCCCTACATCAAAGATAACTTGCCACTAATCCGCTGGCCTCTCGTCCAATCAGGAGCCTCGGATTTCCCGCTCCTCGCTAATCCGATCGGTGCTCTCTCCGACGTCCACTGCACACGTTGTGCAAGGAGAGGGCCCTCTGCCTTCCCGCCGCTCGCTACTCCGCCCCACCCCCTACCTGCCTGCTGACCCGTGTGTGTTTTTGTTGTTTCCTATCCGGGGTGGCTCGGCAGCCCCGTCGTGACCACGTGATTACAACCCAGGTCACGGCGCCACGGTGCGAGTTAGCCTCGGGGGAGGTCGCCCAATTCCCTGGTCGCAGGAAACCGTTAAGCTTGGTCCCATGAGAGGGCTTCTGGGTGAAAACCTGTCGGCCAGGTGACCTCCCCTCGGGGCTCTATGTGAGGGTGTGTGTGTTCATGTGGGGGCTCTATGTGGGGGTGTGTGTGTGTTCATGTGGGGGCTCTATGTATGGGGTGTGTGTGTTCATGTGGGGGCTCTATGTGGGTGTGTGTTCATGTGGGAGCTCTATGTGTGTGTGTGTGTTCATGTGGGGGCTCTATGTGGGGTGTGTGTGTGTTCATGTGGGGGCTCTATGTGGGGGTGTGTGTGTGTCCATGTGGGGGCTCTGTGTGTGGGGTGTGTGTGTTCATGTGGGGGCTCTATGTGGGGGTGTGTATGTGTTCATGTGGGGGCTCTATGTGGGGAGGGGTGTGTGTGTGTTCATGTGGGGGCTCTATGTGGGTGGGTGTGTGTGTGTGTTCATGTGGGGGCTCTATGTGGGGGTGTGTGTGTGTTCATGTGGGGGCTCTATGTGGGGTGTGTGTGTTCATGTGGGGGCTCTATGTGGGGGTGTGTGTGTGTTCATGTGGGGGCTCTATGTGCGAGTGTGTGTGTTCATGTGGGGGCTCTATGTGGGGGTGTGTGTGTTCATGTGGGGGCTCTGTGTGTGCGTTCATGTGGGGGCTCTATGTGGGTGTGTGTGTTCATGTGGGGGCTCTGTGTGTGTGTGTGTGTTCATGTGGGGGGTGGTGAGGCAAGAGCAGCGTCGGCCCCGTCGCTCGGAGGTGGCGGCGTCGTGGCCACGGAGTCGTCAGGACGGCCTCGCTGCTGCTGCTGCTGCGGCACCACAGTGGCAGGCACGGCTCCGACGGAGCGGCCTCACTGCTGCGACACCACACATTCCCGTTCGTGATCAATAACGGTGGTTAATGTATTTGAACCGGACCTGGGCCTCACCTAGGTCGACTCAGCCTTAAATGAGTACCTGGTGTGGATGGACACATCAGCAATGGGGAGACAAAGGTGGCCGGGCATGGTGTTGGGCAGCTCGTGCGCCATGCCTGCCTCATAGGCGCTCACTACCCCCACTTGCCCCAACATTCTGTTTAAGGCTACACGGGGTATCTTTATCTTTTTTTTAATCTACACATCCGACGTGCCTGTGCCGGTCCCCTAGTGTAGAGACGAGTTTGGCCTGCCCAGGGCTATTCATATAACACAATCACATTCGCTACGTATTCAGGGACCCCCTTCCCTGGTTAACCCACTACTCCAAACCGTTATCCCTACCAGTGTTGGGTCGTGAACCCGATTAACCCGGTTAACTTTAATCGGCCACATTTTGGGGGGAGAATTACTCAGAGATTGTGGTTGGAACCGACAGCGGATACATTCCGTTCTGTGGATGTATCCACTCCTGCTTTTTAGGTAACAAATTAAAAAAAACCGTATTAGATTTTTTTTTTAGTATTCAGGGAAAGCATATTGTTTCTTGTTAGCGTTTTTTTTGTTTATTGGCGCAGTGGGTTATATACGATACGAAATAAGTTCAAACGTACATACGAAATAAGTTCAAACATACATACGAAATCAGTTCAAACGTACATAGGAAATACGTTCAAACGTGCATACGAAATAAGTTCAAACGTACATACGAAATATGGTTCAAACATACATACGAAATCAGTTCAAACGTACATACGAAATAAGTTCAAACGTGCATACGAAATAAGTTCAAACGTACATACGAAATAAGTTCAAACGTACATACGAAATATGGTTCAAACGTACAAACGAAATAAGTTCAAACGTACATACGAAATAAGTTCAAACGTACTTACGAAATAAGTTCAAACGTACATACGAAATATAGTTCAAACGTACATACGAAATCAGTTCAAACGTACATACGAAATAAGTTCAAACGTGCATACGAAATAAGTTCAAACGTACATACGAAATGTCAAACTCTCCAGACGGGTCACAGGGAAGTTGGGCATCGGCTGGGAACATGGTCACACTGTTCTAGGTGATATTTTTTTGAGCGAATCTTGTTTACTGCACCACAACAGGGAACTGGCTATCTTGGTCGGTTGCACAGCCTTTACACAACCGGCTTTTGGTGTGCACTGTTCGTAAAATGTTTCTTTTTTTTCCCCAAAAATTGTGTCGCACGCACTGCAGATTGTTTTGTCAAATCGACGCGTGTTTGTTAAGCAGAACTTGGGGAAAATTCGCAGGGAAGTGACAACTCTAAAAACTTAATTTCCCAGAGGCAGGTTCCCAATTCACCACCCACATTACTTCTACCACCATGCTCAATTGTAATTACGCGCGTACTCAAGGTAATTCGGCGTGACGATATCTTTTGCCCCTTGGTCAAAAGTCACTCAAGTCAGGCGTGGGAGCGTGCGCCGCAGGCAGCGTCTCGAGATACGTTAAGGAGTCGAAACGTCTCGGTGGCAGCTGCTTTTCTCCGGCAAGTGCCTACTCGCTTGCCCGCATCTCGTTTCAGCTAAAGCGCGTCGACGGTTCCTCGCCGTCCAACGTCAACACCCTGGCAAGTATTCACGGCTCACAATTGGCCTTTCTCTGAAACACAATGGCCATTGTTCTTTATTGAGCCATCCTTCGCATTTTCTGTACGCGTTCAATTTGATTGTGTCTGTGTATCCGTATATACTTACGTATGGGAGCGGTGGTGCAGCGGTTAGCGCTACGCTGCGATACGAACCCGGCGACGCGAGTTCGATTCCCGCTCACGGCCAACCCCGGTGACGAGCGTCCAGAGTCAGCGAGAAGGTTCGGGAAGGGGGGCGTGGCCTCGGTCGGTATATAAAAGGGGGAGATGCGCGGGAGACTCGGGGCTGTTGCAGTGGGGGGTCTCCGCCTGATGTCAAGTGAACGTGTCTTCAGTAGAGTGCCATCTCAAGAGAAGTGTGTCAAGTCGTCACTCCACATTCCTCCTTCAGACTCCGATCAGGCTCGGGGCCTTGTTTTTGATTCGAGGGGTGTCCTGGAGGAAAAATAAAAATAATAATAAACGTGATCACCCCCACAATGTCTTGGCCGGAAAGTACCGTAGGAGGCTTTTGTTAAGAGTCAGCGGATTGAGTGGCGAGATAAAATTTATCATAAACTTAACTGACTCATCAAATGGGATTGTACAGTGTTTCAATGAATATAGCAACATGGGTTAATTGTATATTAATTCTCTATACGTGTGGCTGATCATATATACACGTGCGGCGATTAGGAATGTATTTTATTCCAGGACACTCCTAATTCAAATAAACTTCAGTTTACGCAATTCGGAGAGAACTTCAATAAATGGATCGTTTTTTTTTCGTCATCCGTAACGACGAGTCTCGCACGACGGCCTGTGATCGAGAACATGCTTGTGCACACCTCATCCTATTCTTGGTTCTTTCGGTAAAGTCACGGATTATTTTAAATGTATTTAAAAAAATAATTATTTGATTTCATTATTTTCTTTTCTATCGACGTGACTTTACCGAAAGAACCAAGAATATGAATTCCTGCAGTCACGAAAGTTTTAGGTCAAAATGTGCACCTCATCCTGCAGTTGTTTTTATACTCTGCGCGTGGCCACTGTCCCCCGGGTTTCTCCGGCTTCCTCGTCGTGGCAGTGACCAGTGGCTCCGGTTTAGGGCCACGGAGGGATTTCATTTCTGAGTGAAAATATTTTGTGTGTGTTGGGTTTAATTGTTGAAAAAACGGCAGGATGTGTTGGGTTGCTTGGTAGACTGGAGGAGAGCCACGGCAGTCGGCCCTTGGAAGTGGCAAACGTCACGAGAGCCATCCCCTGCCCTTTTGCATGCACGTTAAGAACTGCAAAACGTCTCATTGCGTGTGACCGACGCGTGTGGCTGAAGGTTACTGGAAATTTTACCACGGTTTGCTTGCTAAGCATTGTCCGGCCTTCGAGTTGCCCATGAAAAGCCACAGACCACATGCCCTCAAAGCCACCCCGCACCACTGATGCTTGATTCAAACAGTCATCACATATAGGGATGTACAGTGTATGCATGTATGTATTGTACTTGATGGTAAATCTATTGGCTGATGTGTTCTTGTCGTGGTCTTTTGCACGTGATGTCATCTTGCATGTGACGTCCCTGGAAGCCGATGCGTTGGATATCAATTGGGCTTGAATGCGCTTGGTCTTGTTAGATCCAGAGGCATTATCGTCCATAACATATGTCAGTTCTCCATTATCCTGGGTTATGTGAGGAGATGGATGGCTCAGATAAAAGAAAACAGCGTGGATAATGCGAGTGTTGCGAAATAGTCTAAGACGGAATTTGTCACGTGTTTTTTTCGTTGCTTAGAGTCATCGGCCACCGTGTCTCGAGCGAGGAGCGCCTGCGGAGGGAACAGGCGCGTGCGCACAAATAAGCGTCGAATATTTCATATTTCCCCCTCCCCCTTCCTCACAAGTGCGGTTAATCCGCAACTTGGATTAATTCGCACGCTTAATAAATCTAGAGCTTAATTGCTGTTGTTACAGGTTGGTGCGTAAGTTACTCTCTCTGCACGACTCGGACGGAGCTTGCTGACGCGTTAATTGGGGGACACGGTGCAAGCCACCGCCACTGTGAAGAGCCAAGGTCCAGGGCAGAATGGCGAGTATAGAGCCGCTCCAATCGAATCTCACCGTGCATCCACTTCCCACCGATGTGCACCATTCAGAAAATGACGTTGGGAAATTTCAGCTTTTGTTGCAGAGTCACACGGAACTGGAACAACGTTCAGGAAGTAAATCAACGGGCGTGGGTAGAGTCTAGAACAACAAGGAGGGGGGTTAATGTGGTAGTGGTTTTGAACGCATTTTTAGATTGAACCTACCACGCAACGTTTTCACTTCTACCATCTTTCACGAGCGCGATGAACGGGAGCACGATTAACGGCACCGCTGGTAACTCGACCGCGGTGCGAGCCGGGGACACCCTGCGTATGGCGCTCACCGTTGTGTCCACCCTGCTCATGTGCTTCGTCATGCTGGCGCTCGGCTGCTCCGTGTGCCTTGACCGCATCCTGCAGCACCTCAAGGTGAGTGGAGGTGTGACCAGGGCAGGCTCGGGGTGGTAAGACCTGCGTGGCCTGAGATTTTGCATGGCATGAGAGGGCACATTTCTGGGTGAAGGCAGACAAACCTGCTGGAAGGGAATACATGGGTAAGTGCCTGCCTGGAAGGGCGGTCGGTGGGGGGGGGGGGTCTGCACATGACTGAGGAACAATATTTGAGACAACAAAAATCATAGTATTTCAAAGCCTGCGTTTTTGGGGAATTTTTTTTTCTCAGCAAGCTGATGGTATAGCATGAACCGTAGGCTCTCTACCGAGCCAGTGGCCAGCAGTTGCATAAATTTAATATAATTTTTATCATACTTTACCACGCTGGTCAGTGCGGGTTGTGTAATAGCGGGGAGCATAGAGTACAGTACAACGTGGATGTTGCTGCTGAAGCCGTCTCGTTGTGGCTAGGAGACCTCGACGTTGGCATTTATCTCCCGTGCATAGTGTCAAATGTGCACCAACCCCTACCCCCACCTTTACACAAGGTCACACCACACAGGGTGGTCGCTTCACCCTGCTCCTTTTGTCGCCGTGCGTTCTGCCTGTGCCCAGCGCCCGTGGGCCGGGCTGACCGTGGGCTTCGTCTGCCAGTTCGGGGTCATGCCGCTCGCGGCGTTCGCGCTGGCGCGCGGCCTGCGGCTCGGCTCCGCAGAGGCGTCAGCCGTCCTCATTTTGGGGTGCTGCCCGGGGGGGTTGGCCTCCAACCTCATATCGTACTGGCTCGACGGAGACATGGACCTCAGGTGCTGGGAGGTGTGGAGGGCGGTGGTAGCGTTCGTGGGGAACGGTGGCGCAGCGGTCAGCAGTACCGCTGCGCTACGAGCCCCGGCGACCCGAGGTCGATTCCCGCTCACGGCCAACACCGGTGACGATTATCTGAACCGGTCGTGGGCCTCCCCTAGGTTGACTCAGCCTCATGTGCTGTGTTTGCTGTTTTTTCCTGGATTTTTTTGTTTGCGCAAAGTTACTTTAAGATGTTTTCTTGTTGTGGTTTTTTGTTTGTTGCGGTTGCATCCGATTCAAGAGCCGAATGGCTCACAGGGCTATACCAAATACATGAAACTGGAAAAATGAAAATGAATGAAACTGAAAATGTGAGTACCTGGTGCGATGTGTAAACATCGCCACTAGGGAGACAAAGGCGGCCGGGCGTGGTGCTTGCCCCCCACCCGCTCGTGTACTGTGCCGGCCTTCTTGGGTGCTCGCTAACAGCACTTGCCCCCACAGTCTGTTAAGGCTATACTGGGGATCTTTGTCTTGGTGCCGTTCGTCCATAACGGAAGTCGGCAACCAAAATAACAATAAGAAGACGTTGTTTTTCGAATTGCGTCAATAAAAACCCTCAATATTTCAAGAGCCGCCAATGCGTGTGAATTCGAGATGGTCCTCAGTAAATAGCGATCTTGAAACTCATCCGGGATTGGATTGGGAACTAGCGGAGGGATCTGAGTCTTAGGGTGATGTGGTATCTTCTATGAAGAGTCTGGCGGTGGAATATTCGCTTGTGTGGGCGAAGGATTCTGTACGTGGTTGATGAGCATCTATGCATTGTTGTTGTTGTGCAGCATCAGTATGACCATAGTCTCGACTATCCTGGGACTCGGCATGATGCCACTGTGCCTCTACATCTACAGCAGATCGTGGCTCGATGATACGACTTTCGTCATCCCCTACAACACCATCGGTGAGCGCAGCCCACACTACTGCTCATACTCTGGGGGGCGCAGAAGCGTGGGGGAAAATGCGATGCAAATCACTAAAAGGAGCATGAACAGATTGTGCTTCGTCGTTGATCTAGTGCTCCAAAAGCCATGAGATCGAAGTGAGTTTTCAGCCGTATAGCGATGGTGTTGCTTGCCGTCAATGCGTGCGTGGGTGCGTGCGTCTTGCTGTTTTCAGGAATCACGCTGGCATTGTTAGTCATTCCGGTCATATTAGGAATGCTCCTTCGTCACAAGTGCCCTGTACACGCCTGCCGCATGCTCAAGGTAAATCTTCGGAGTGTGAATTTAGAATTTAGGTCCAACGTAATATTTTGTTTATATTCGCCTCACTTCGATTCTCAAATGTGGCCACTGTGTCATCCAGTGCCTAAATTTTTTGAAAAACACTGATGTGATCCGAATCCCTTTCTTTCCTCGCCCGTGACTCCACCGTGCCACGTGCGCAGTTGGGCACGGTGGTGGGCAGCCTGGTGCTCGTGGTGACGGCGGTACTGGGCATCATCTCCTACAACAGCCTGCAGAACATGAGCATGCACATCTGGTTCATCGCGGCTGCCTTGCCACTCATCGGATTTCTCCTGGGTTATGTTCTCGCCATGCTGTTCCGGCAGCCACCGTTCAGGTTTGTGGCTTTACAACAAATAATGCCCAATGTTAATGTGTTGGCGGAAAGCCGTCTTCTTCTGATTGTTGTTAAAAAAATGCAGAACTGCTGTATTCCGCAAATGTATCTGTTTCTGCTGCTGTCTCTGAGCTTGCCCTGAGACCTCATTGGTTATTCTCTGGCCTTCCGTTATATTCCTTGAGGCAGGGCCCCCACGCCTGACTACTCGGCGTCACTGAGCACTCTCGCACAGACATAACACTTGAATGATGCTGCTGAACACAGGCAGGCGGAAGCAGGTGTCCCCTTTTGGTTTTAACGGGTGCGTTATTCCTCTTATTTCTCACCGGAAACCCGGCGACGAATTTGCCGATTGAGGGAGTGTGCGGTTGATGGCGCGCTGCTTGCAGGTGCCGCACGATCAGCGTGGAGACTGGCGCTCAGAGCATTCACCTGTGCAGCGGCGTGCTGCAGATCTCCTTCCCGCCGGAGCAGCTCGCTCTCATGTTCTCTTTCCCCATCGCCTACAGCGTCTTCCAGTTGGTCTACGCCATCCTCATGATCACTGGTATGCGGCAGGGCCAGCGGCAAGGAGCGGTGACGTGGCCGAGCAGTGGCGTCGTTTGACATTTGTTGCAGAGGTTGGCGGATCGAGTTGAGTGATCACCCTGGTTAGATCTGCGGGTGTTTTAGCCAAACAATGTGATGCGGGCGTTAAATATGCCACGACTTTATCCATCGCAACGATGATAATAATTTCAACTTGTAACACGAAAAGTATTCGCTCACTCTCGTAGAGAGAGAGAGCAACTCGGAGGTGGAGGAGCCACAGACGAGTAGGAAGGCAGCGACGTGATGAGCGGGTGCCAACAACCGCCTGAGTTTTGCGATCCTGTATATAGTGAGGTGTGATCGGCCAATTTCTGAAAGTTTATATGTCGGAGGAAACCCCCGCGTGAAAGGGATAAACACTCTATCCTATGCAGATGCAACAGGTGGAGTCCAAATGTTTACTGTACTACCTTCTCCTGGCAAGCCAGGATATAACATCTCATTACATCATAGCCCGCGTGTGTCAAAATAGTGGTTAAAATTAATCAAATTTGGAAAATTACACGCGAATTATAATTGAACCACAATAACAATCATGCCTTTTAAATAGCAAGAATATATTTTGCTGAGTTTCAAGACAAATTCAAAAAGTTCCCTCCACTGAGATGTTTGAGGAATTCCATGAACTAGTGTATTGCACATAGGGAACCTGGCGTACCTGGAGAAAATCCATGCATACAAGGGGACTAGAAGGCTCTGCACATTCAGAATGAAAAATCCATTGTCCTGCTGCTCATCTGACCACCAATATAATCGATGAAAATTAGTCCATAAGTCACAGGCATTATGCATTTGTTATGTTTGCTAACAAGAACATTCACAATGGTAGTGACAACCTTGAACATTATAATTGTGATAATAATGTACAGCCCTTTGTCAATCCACTGCTGAATGAAGACCTTACACACCATGTTTGTTGTGGAGAATGCTGTTCATACTTCACCACGCTGGTCAGTGTAAGTTATTGACGAGGAGGAATGGGGCCCAGAATTGGTACAGATATCGCTCGCCACTGATGTTAGTCGTGGTTGGTAATCGAAGTCAGGTAGCGGGTTCATCAAACAGTGCACTAACCACGATGCTTCTCCTCTCCCATCCCATAAGAGTCATCTAAATTATATACTGTATAATATATATGCAGAGTGAATCCCAGACAGCCTCATTAATTATTTAAAACCAGCTTTGCTGGAGTCCTATAGGGAGAATAAACAATGTGAAGTTCAGTGTGCATGACTCATGCACATTTTGTTAATGAAGGTCATCACACATATAGCTATAAATAGGTCTCTCTGCGTGGCTTTTAACATTTAAATTCCCAAGCCATTTGTTGGCGATTTACAGAAGCATCGTTCAATGTCGTTCGCAGGTTATAAGATTTACAAGCGACAGCGGAAGGTCCAGGTGAGCGTGGACCAGGAGGCAGTGGCGCCCAGCCTCGTCAGCTACCGCGAAGGGCATCGCAAACAAACCACGGCGGGCCACGACGGGGCCGATGCAGGCGCCAGTGAGATCGCCGCGGACAAAACGCGACCTTGACCGCCTCGCAACGTCCTTGCAGCCCCACAAATGCCCTCGTGTCACTTCTCGCACAGCCCTCGCAGCTCCCCCTCTCTCACATTTCGACGCCACCTCCTCGGTCCCCAATCACTTTCACCTGGCTCACGTGGAAGCATAGAAGTAACGAACAATGTACTGGCTTCGAGCGCTTTATTCGGTACCAATCGATGCGTTCCGAAAAAAGTAGCGCACACAGCGAAACCGCACTCGGGGGACAGCTGCCTGCCGAGTAGCATACGGTGCAGTATACACCGTACACACACAGCACACACGGTACATACACAGAGCCGCATCTCAGTGAATGCAAACGGCATATTGCGAATTTTGAGAAGAAAAGGGTGAGCCGCATATCACGCGAAATCACACAAACCGAAGGGGCATATAAAGCGAGACTGTTTGCTGCACTGCCCTTTGACGAGCTGTTTGGTCATGGCGATAGTCGTCCATCTCAACACTATCCAGGCACACCTCTGGGTCCCTGCTTAGCTTCTCCGATATCAGGCACATTCCATGTGATTTTAAAATATATACCAACGATGTAAATATAAAATTTATATCATTTGGATTGTATTTTGGAAACTACAAAAAGACCATAATTCATAGGTGGTGAAGGTTAATCGATGATGGTATGGGTGACTGCATCCAAACATAAAGTTTACATGCTTAAACATGCACACTTCCATATGTGTCATTTGTACTTCTTTGTTTGCTGTAGTTTCTCATAAAAACATGTTGTGACAACACTTTTGTTTATTTTTTTTTCCTCAATGTTGCTGTGAGCGTCCCGGCGTCACGAGACGAAGGATCTCTTCGGATCTGTGACAGAGCGGCGCAACCCCTGGTCAGGCAGAGAACGGATACCTGTGTAGTGGGCGGGGGCTACTTGTTTAGTGGGCGGAGCTACCTGTGTAGTGAGCGGGGTTACATGTGTAATGGGCGGGGCTACCGGTGTAGTGGGCAGGGCGGCTATCTATGTAGTGGGCGGGGCTACCTCTCGTAGACGGGCCTACCTGTGTAGTGGGCGGGACTACCTGTGTAGTGGGCGGGAGTCCCTGTACAGTGGGCGGGGCGTGCGTCAGGATCTGAGGTCACTCCCAGTGTGGGCGGAGCTAGTGAGTTAGCGGGCGTGGTTATGTAAATATGGGCGTGCCTGACGGAGGGAAGGGCTGCCAGCTCACGCCCATGCGTCCTGGTTGAGTCAGAATCAGAATATTTATTTATACTGGAGGAATCCGATGAGCTAAAAAGCTCTTTTTCACAGATGTCCTACTTGAGTCTCGAAGAAATGTACCACCTCTACGTTAAATGAATCTTCACACGGTGAAATTGCGAAAGGAGGGAAGTTTAATTATTGCCACTTAAGTTATTAGAGTTCAGTATTAAAACTATTTTGAAACTGTGAAACTGTGCAGTGTTTACATAATTGAATTTGTTCACGCTAATACTGCTGCCATTAATAATGCAATACTGCAGTAAAATGTAATGAATATATAACTAGTTACAAACACAATTACAAGTGCAACGTGACTGCCCACTTCGACAAAATTAGTCATGCACTGTGGTGATGATGATGATGCCACGTTGGCAGGGCTGCACAAGCACAATTACCAAAACACACTCAGCATTTATCAATAACACTGCAGCAACAGGTTACGTGTAGGGAACGGTCCCTCGTCACAGCACGTAAATAGCGAGGCCAAAGAGGTAGAGTCGATAATAAGAGTTCATTTTTCTCTGCCCTCTTTTCGTGTTTTTGTATTGTTGTTGTAAAGTTCTGACTCGCCCCTACTTGACATCTGTGAAAAAGAGCTTTATAGCTCATCTGATTTCTCCAGTATAAATACATATTCTGATTCTGCCTCTATCTCTGTATGTGCATTACATGAGGGACGTTAGCCCAAAACGTTTACTATTATAATAGACACATTTTAAAGTCAGAGTGGAATTGCTGACGAATGTGTTCAGGTTTTTCCACTCACAGGCGAACTAGAAACTGGATGTACGGCATTGGGTGTGCAGCAATCACGGCCGGGCGGGGCTCTGCTGGGCGCCGGTGGTGCCACTCATCCAGCCAGGGGCGCCGGTGGTGCTCCTCATCCAGCCAGAGGCGCCGGTGGTGCCACTCATCCAGACACGGGCGCCGGTGGTGCTCCTCATCCAGCCAGAGGCGCCGGTGGTGCCACTCATCCAGACACGGGCGCCGGTGGTGCTCCTCATCCAGCCAGGGGCGCCGGGGTTGGAGGCAGAGCGTGAGCGCGTGGCGTGGGCGGTGCTGAGACATCACGAAAGCTCCACCGCCGTGGAATAAAACGACACGGCGTTTGAAATGACAAAACACCGTTTTGGAATCCTGTATTATAAGTAACAACTCCGTTTATTTCTTCAGCGGTGGCGCTATTTGTGTTTTTTTCGTTTTTGTGACTTCCACATCTTAATAAGAAATGGTGAAAACAAACTGATGCGAAGCTTTCTTGACTGCAAGAATTACTCTTTGGTTCTTTCGGTAAGGTCACGTAGAAATAAATTACATTAAATAATAGAATCCGACGTTGCAACACAAGCAACCATCATCAAATACAAATGCATAGTTTGAACCACCTCTACGGGGAGGGATTGCCGTGCTTGTTTGTTTTCACACTTAGCTTCTAATTGAGCAATCTTTGGAAGAACGTAATCAATCAGGCTAAGCGTTAACTGTGTGCTAACCGACTCTGTGTTGCATTGCATTACACTTCCTGATTTTATAAAATTTGTTTTCTACCGTGCTTGTTTATAAGTCCATTCTCTCCTCCGGCCGCTATGGGCAGTAATTCCACACAACGCTTCGTGCTTGTTTGTTTAGAAGTCAGTTTCGAGCTCGTCCTTCCCCTATGGGCAGGAATTCCACACAACTCCCCCTCTGCCCCCCCCCCCCTCTCTATTTAAAGCCTCGACACAGAGACGTTGTCTTTCTGTGTCTATGTTGTGTATCTCTCTCTGTCTCTGTGTGAGTCTCTGCTTGTGTGTCTGTCTATGTGTCTCCGTGTCTATGTTTTGTCTCTCTCTCAAATTTAGCAATCTTTGGAAGAACGTCATCAACCAGGTGGGGTGTTGACTGTTTTGTTGGCCGACTCTCTGTATTGTATTGCATATTTTCAAGTTTACTATGTTTGTTTTCTCATTAATTTGTACCTGATTATGGTTACTTGTGTTGCAATCGAAACGTCGTGTTCTATTATTATGTAATTTCTTTCTACGTGACTTTACCGAAAGAACCAAAGAGTATAGTGAAAACACTCAACAGATTCGTCAGCAACGCATTCTTAAAATTAAATAAATGCATACAGCAATAGGCGACATTTCTGACAATTGCCTTTCTTCATAGCAATTAGAGAGTCCGGAGACAGAGTGTATACGACGAGTTGATATCTGTGAAAAATAACTTTATAGCTCATCGGATTCCTCCAGTATAAATACATATTCTGATTCTTTGGCATCTCTACTTATGTACTATGAAGAAGGGTTGTTGCTCGAAACGTTGAAATTTTAAGGCAGGGTTATCGACGAAATGTGTTGAGTTTGTGTATTATTTATGCACAACTGCCAGCGGAGGGTTATCGTCACAAATTCACCTGGGCCACAATAGTACGGGCGGCGTAGCAAGCGTGGCATGGGCGGGGCTGAGATGTAGTGGGCGGGGCCACTACCCGATATAAGGAGGGGCTTCATATTCTTGGTTCTTTCGGTAAAGTCACGTAGAAGGGAAACAATAAAATAAAAAAATATGTAACAATACAATTCTCACGACGTTTCGACTGCAACACAAGCAATCATCATCAGGTGTTTTCTTGCTGTCACGAAAGCTTTAAATCGAAATTTTAGGAGGGGCTTATTAGAAGTGGACGGGGTGAGGACTCGATGTGGGCGGGACTAAGCGTGGATTGGGCGGGGCGTGCGCGTGGCTTGAGTGGAGACCCGGATGTTGTGACATGTCAGCGCGGCCGTCCGCTTCTCCCCGCCGCCTCGCGTCGCCCGCCGCTGCCGCCTTCTGTCTCGGTCAGTTAACCCCCACCCCCTCACTTAGCCCTTGTCCTGCGGCAGCCCGGCGCTCTGCGACGCGGGGAAAAGTGCGCTCCGAGCTGGAGCTGCGCGGGCCGACGAAGCGCGTAAGACGCGCGTACGTCCGCGGCCCCCGCGTACGCGCTGCGGCCTAGCAGGCCCTGGCCGAAGCGGCGCTTTCGGCCTGGGAGGCGACGCCGGGGACAGAGGCGCCGCTCTAGGCGGGCAGTTCAGGAGAGGCCGTGGCTTGCGGGCGGGCTAGGCCGCGCGGTGCTGGGTTTGCCCGGATGGGCCGCGAGGGCGGCGCTTCGCCGTGTGCGCTCCGAGACGTTGAACGTGGCGCTCGCACATCTGGTCTAGGCGTGCGCTGCTCGGGCAAGCGTGCGGTGGTGACTACGTATTGGCATTTGTGGTCTCCGGGAGAGAGGTGTTGGATTGGCCGGGTAAGTGGCGTTTGCTCTGGGGCTACCAACAAGAGTGGCCGCGATGCGTTAGGGAGTGATGCCCAGAGAAGCTGGGGGGAGTAATTGCTCGGGGTTTGCCCAGAGTTGGGTGGGCGTTGGAGACTTGGTCCCGGGTATGTATGGGGATGTTGCTTGGCGCAGTCCAGGTAAGTTAACTACCTCACCGGCGGGGCGGGGGGGGGTTGGCCAATTGAGCGACATTTAGGGTGCCCAGGTAAACGACGCTTCACCCCGTAAAGTAACATTGTATAGCTGCCGCGAGGCCACGCTGCTTGAGGCTACTTGGTGGTGGTGGTGGGGGGGAGGCGACACTTTGGGGTTGCCCAGCGAAGTGACGTTTTTAGGGGCTGCGTTTGCGAGGTTTGTTGAAGCTGTAGGCTTCTGGACGCGTCACTTGACCCCCCCCCCCCCACCGGTGTCTGCTTCATTCGCTGCCAGGGGTTGTACCTGTTATAATGTTTGCCGCCGCGGAAGCGTGGACTTCGTTCCCCGGTTTATTTATCTTTACGCCTCCGCATAAACAAAGCCACCAACTATGTATAATGGTGTGTGCTGAGTGAACTTTATGAGTTGAATTACAGCGTGTGGTATCTTCGTCAACAAGTGAAACGCATGCGTTGAGTAGTAACATATGGCAACCACGTCATATTGGCGGTTGGTTCTTTGTGATAAGCGCATGCTGTATTGTTATGTTTGTAATGATGCCACTGGTGATGTAATACTTGTCCAAGTGTCACTGTGTGTAGTCTTAGCACAACACGTGTTTATGTTTCAGTACACGGGGACAACATACAGTATTATGTTATACGCTGGGCTGCGTAGCAAAGCCATACACATTCAAGTGTTTAAATAAAGGCACTTAAATGCGGCGCTTGTCCGTCAAACTCGGAGCCAAAACAATCGCAGTGTTGTCAATGTAAGTATGTTTACGAAGTGTAATTTGTGAGTTTAATTTATGTGGCACACGTTTGACATGTAGGTATTTTTTTTAAATCCAGCCTTTGTCGCGTAGATACGAGACTTTATCACTTGAATTTTTGTAAGTTGAGTTCCTTTAACTCTGTTTTATCTATCGTCCTTTAAGATACACGATTCAAATACTTTTACAATCCACTACCGTGCGATATATGTGCAAATTTTTTTGTTGTACTGTTAAATCATATTTGAATCGTGTAAATCTTAAATCATAATTTAACAGTACAGTTGCAACCCAGTTTGCCTGCACTTCTCGGCCATCAAGAGTGTATAGAACGCGTCGGTAGATGGCGCTATAACCTAACGTGCGAACATTGTAGACCGGCATCTCCAGCAGCAGAATGTGGTGCTCTGGTTGAAGGGAGAAAAAATTATATTATTAGCTCTTTCGGTAAAGTCACGTTGAAGGGAAACAATAAAATAATAAAATATATATAAAACAATATATATTTAAAACAATATATTTTATTATTTTATTGTTTCCCTTCAACGTGACTTTACCGAAAGAGCTAAGAATATGAATTACTGCAGTCACGAAAGCTTTAAATCAAGGAGAAAAAACTGTTCCAAATCTACTGTATTATTCACACGTGTCATATTGATTATATGTGCGCTCCCAACACCCCCTGTTTTCAGTGGATAACCTTGAAAGTTGGATTGGATCTATAGAATGCAAAGTAATTTTTTTTGAGCTAGAGATTTTTCGATGTAGGTTTTGCTATAAATTTCGATCTGTTTGGCATTCTTAACACACTGGCCACGTGAAAACCTCAAGCCTACAGTGTTTCTGGATATTATCTAAGTAACCAAAAGTAGGGCAATCAAAACCCACATATTTTCAACAGATGTAACTATCCCAGATGTGGCATTGTGTAAGTGCGACCAATCTTGTGTCCAATCTTGGAGCTAAGCTGGGTTGAGCCGGGTTAGTACTTGAATGGGAGACTGCCAGGGAAACCTTAGAGGTTTTGGCTGTCAAGTGACCAATAGATAGCCATGCAGTCATGGATTAAATACTTTTTACAACATGTAATAATTAAATCACGTGTTGTATACAGTAGTGTGTATAACACAGCACTTAAGTGCTTTTTGTATTCTGGTTGGTTATATTGTTATTTTAGTATTCTTGATAATGGAATGCAAAGTTCAATAAAAAAAATCGGTTATCAGTTTGCCAATCTTCAACCCACACTGACCAGAGTAGGCGAGTATGATCAGGACACTGATGAAAGATTGTAGATTTTAAAAATATATATATATTTTCTACGTAATGAGTTGCCATATGACCAATCAAATTGGAATTGACCTTGTGATTTTAACGTGATTGCATGCCAGTCATCACTTAAAATTTAACTGGATTTGATTATGAACAGTTATTTTAAAAAATCGATCATTAAAAGCTATAATATGTATACACTTTCTATGTTTGGTCAACACCGTGACTTTTATGATTAGAATTGGTCATTGTTTTTTTCCATAACGTGCTTTAATTCCTTGGAATTCATTAATGCAATAATTATATACCCATGAGGGTCGTGTTGGAAAATCTGGAGCCAGGATGGATGCTTGCAGTAACTTCCTTTAGCGGATATTTCCAATAACAGCGAAATGGTGCTCGACAATAATTAAAATTGTCCTTGACAAACTTTATTCATGATGTTCTGTACGAGAAAAAAACTTTTGTTGCATAAATATTTAAAAATGGATAAACGGGCTTATAATTTTATGATTTTCGTTGGACAGCTTCCTATTGCTAAATTATGTCATGCATCCTTAATATGTGGCTTTCACAACATATTTACAATTCTCCTTTGACACACATCAACCAACGTTTGAATGGCTTCAGTATTTGGTACTTTTTATGTTCATCAGGCATGACATTTCCAGTGCTGGATTGAGGCGTCTTCAACCCTCACCATTTCTCATGGTCATGCGATGGGTCCACTTGAGCTGATCTCATTGCTCCATCTCCGGAGTAATCATCCTCTTGGGCGTGTATTCCACTTCGGCTGAGTCATGACCAGTGTAGCCATAACTCCTCCCAGCAACGTGTCTTGTCAATCACTTGTTTTTGTAACGTACATTTTTTTTCAACTTGTGAGTGTTTTATGATTCATGTGTTTCTTTCATATGCTTCACTACAATTACAAGCATTCACCTCTGCATGCTGCTTTATGCACTTTTCAATGTTTATTGAATTTCTTTAATCATATCTCACAGTTAATTTACACTGATTAATAAAATAGCAGCCAGTGGAATTTAACTTCAACGTAATCGAATAACTTAAAAAAAGGCTGAAGTGTGCCTCAAGTTTAATGAGCAAAATTCACGTACAAAGAGTTAATAAAACAATTGAAAGCATCTGGAGCTTCCCAACTGAAAAACACATCATAGTATGGAACCGTAGGGTAGTTATTGAAGGCGGATCAGGATCAAATTGAGGATATAGAGAGGCATGCACAGCCATGCTGGAGTACTATTGTTATATTGAACTTAATTAAAACAACCTACTAATGTTTCTAAAGAAGACGGCTTTTAATCGACACATAGGCTATTTTATATATATGAACAGTGTGCAAATAACCTAAATATCCTGAACGCCTTTCTAGAGTTATGTAATATATAACAAGAAACGTTTTTAACGTACGGTAGTTATCACAAATGTAGGTTATGAGAATAGGTTTTCCCCTTTTTTTCTGGCAACAAAACAGGTGTTGAGATGTTAAAACACCAAACTTAAACCTTTTACAAGGAATCATGTCTGCATTAACCACAATACTTGTGGTCAGAATGCAAACAAAAAAACAACATACTCTGATAATGTATGCATTGTTTTTTAAACTGATTGGTCCACACCAGAGACGGCTTTCTTTCGAGCCTAGCCTCAAACGGTGTTAGACCAGAGGACGCCTTTTAGACGGTCTAACACCGTTTGAGTCTAGGCTCGAAAGAAAGCTGTCTGGTGTGGACCAATCAGTTTCAAAGACAATGCATATATTATCAGTGTTTTTTGTTTGCATTCTGACCACAAGTATTGTGGTTAATGCAGACATGATTGCTTGTAAAAAGTTTCAGTTTGGTGTTTTAACATCTTAACACAACTGTTTTGTTGCCAGAAAAAAGGGGAAACCCTTTCGCATATTTTGGTACTGGCAAAGGAGGCCCCATGATGTAAATGGAAGTTATTTTTCTCTCCACGAGATGGCAGTGTCTGATGGTGGATTGACAAAAGGCTGTACATTATACATTTTACAAAAAAGAGCTCACATTTTTTAGTGGTGTCATAATAACTCATGTAAATGTTTAGAAATGCCTGTAGAGAATTATTCAACAAAAAAAATAATTTATTTGGTGTCAAATACCTTCAATAGTTAAAGCTATCACTAAAAATGATGACAATATAATCTTATATTTTTTTTACAGAAGCCCCATCAAAAACATTATTTTTTGCTGAATAAGACTGGGCACCTGGTGAAGACACTGAGAACAGAAAGGTACGTGTATATTGTGAACAACACAATTGTGAAGAACACATTTACCAGTGTAACATTTTATTCACAAATGTAAGGTAAACATGTAACACTGTTGAAATTGCTGTGATAACCCTGTATGAGAGCCACCTTACGTTAGTCCTGCTACATTTACATACCGTTTTAAAATGTGTACACACTTCTGTGAATAAAACCTGGCCGAGAAAGGAATGTTTTAAACAGAAGACTCCACATGTGTTGGCTTGCACTGAATTTATTTTGACTATGCATATTGACTTGGCCAGACAGTCTGACAAAGCCTTTATTGGGGAGGGGGGGGGGGCTAGTAGAAGTGTTTGTTTCAGCCAACTATTACTTGGTTTCTTACTTTTTCTCTCCAGCTGTGCCGTCTTTCACTCAGGTCTATCTGTGGTTGTAGTTAGTTTTTTTTCTGTTTGCTTTTGCAGAGCTACAGAGATTGTCTTTTAATGTTCAGAATTTGGTTTGAAAACTTTAAAGGCAGAAAGCCACACTTGTTGGGTGCCCGTGATGCCTGCACGCGTGACTCGGCTCTGTGCACATAGAAGAGACAACTCATTTGAATGTGATTTTAGCCTGAAAGGGTCAGGCCGTAAAAGCAAAACAGAGATCGTTTTCCATCCCGACAGCCCGGTTTCTGACAGCTTTTATCCTTTAGTCTTGGCGCTACTGACATAGCTGTTAAAGTTGATATACTTATAATATAAATGATACACCATAACAGTTTTCTCACAACTTTGCAGAATTTCTTGGGTGGGCTCCTGTATGTTGATGTTTTTGTTGAGCCTGCCACGAATAGGTCACAGCGCTATTCGTTGTATTGACATGTGTTCTGTATTACTTTTTTCACATTTATCTTTTAATTTGTCATTGCTTTAACGCTTCCCTGCTCGCTTAATACCCTGAACTATAGCTATGATGATGGTGATGTCATTGTCTTATTTTACATACATCATGCAATAGAAATGGCTTTCTGGTGCGTTGATCTTGCAGTGTTATTAACGTGTCATCTGCACTGTTGCTAAAGTAAAGTGATATGTGCTTGGATTGTGCCAACAAATAGGAAATTCCTTGAAAGGGTGGTGCTAGGTGTCTGAGCTTCATGCACCAGTGGTCAACCCTTCTGCCTTTTCTCATTCAGTATAATTGTCTATACGTGCAGCATATAAGACAACAGCATGTCGCTCATAACACCTAGATATGAACTTTGTACAAACATTGGCATGCATGCTTTAATGAACGTATAATTTTTTTACTATATATTGTATTGCCATCCATTGTTTCAATCTCACTTTTTAAATTGTTCATGTAAGATAGTATACACTCCACCTTTACGACCGTTTTAAAGATACGTGTAGCCTCTGTTTGGATGGCAATGATTGTGAGCGTGTTGGTTGTTGCTGAAATTGCCACTGTACCTCGTTGCCGTGTGTTCTCCAAACACACTGCTGGCCACATGCAGCCACCATGTCGGAGGGGATGATAAGCCAAGCTGCCACCACGGAGATCCCCATCTCCAGCAACGGAGAACCCCGTCAACCACCCGAGGATGATCGCTTCGAGCAGGTCCACATTCACACAATGTCAATGACGATATTGGCCTGTAAACTTCCCACTGCATTTTCTTCCATTCATTTTTTAAGATCTTGTCCAGTAGTGGCCTCCGAACTCTTTCATTCCATTTAACCATCTATTCCGCTGTCTTCCTCTGCTTCTTTTACCGTCTCGGTATTCAACGCAGTTCATTTTGTCCATCTCTCGTCAGTTTTTTTGTTGTTGCGTGGCCTGCCCATTTCCACTTGATTGATTTAGTTTTGACCGCAGCATCAATGTGCCCTGTTCTTTAACTTATTTATTAATTCCTTAGCATCTCTTTTGATTTACTATGGCAAACCTGCAGTCTCATTTTCACACACAGCTGTTGGTAAACATCCTCCTTTTTAGTCTGAGTAGAATATGCTATAGGTTGTCCACTGGCTCCTTTCCATTGGACTGTGGAATTTTTCTCATTTGCTCAGGGCTGCCAGTGGAGGTGAGTGCTGCCCAAGACTCGTATGGGCAGTGACCAACTTTGACCTTATTTAGAAAATAAACTTTACACTTACTAATGACTGTTGCATGTTGTGTATATTAGCAGAAGTCAAATAAATCAATGCTAATGTTTTAACATTTATCAGGACCATTTTCATACGTAGTATCGCAGGCAATGTTATTTTGGTGTGCTGAAAAGTATTGTATTGTACCGTTTGTTTTATCCATTACTGGTTTTCCCATGGGTCTGGTAGCATTATTTAATGCACATGGAAGGAAAAAAATCCGTCTGGTTTTGACATGGCTAAAAAATGTGCTGTGAACTGTCATTTTGCTGCTTTGCGAGATCCGACCCCAATCGATATCCATTCCACTTTGGGCATGGTAACCCCATTTTCAAAAGGTCATCTTCTGTTCAGGGCTCCAAGGCTGTTGAACTTTACAGAGAGAAGCGTCGTAACACTGTTGCTAATTGTCAAAAGTTGTTTCTTTTCTAGCGTTGAAGAATTGCTTTAGGGTATTTTTAAGTTCAACAAAAAAATATCCGTGCACGGATGAATTGATATCGCACATCCGCGCGGTACCTTTCCTGGTGCAGGTAGTTTCTTGCCTATCCCATTCTGTGGGGAAATTCTTCGTATTTATATAATGTTTAAAGGCATCCTCTTTGATTGTATCCTAGAACAAGCCTGAATTGCAGGAGATTTTGTGTTCATCCTCTGCAGCCTCTGTGATTTATTGTTCAGTGTCAGCAGCGCGCCCGACAAAGCTCACCGATGACGTGCCTATGGCGTGTTGCGCAAAAATGAACAATTTGCGATATTTTTTTTTCTTCCGGGGGAAAAAAAAGCTCCACAAACCTGACATTACACACATATTAACTGTTCTTTGCCAAGAGTACATTTTAATTGTCAAAAATGTATATGAATGTGAAGTTGTTTTTAATGGATAAACTACGCAGTGGAGGTGCGCGCTGATGGCGAGCACTTGTTTAATGCCTCAACACACTGTGCTCAGACTTACAGACTCCAGTTGACATTTCGGGCGGCAGGGTGGCGCAGTGGTAGCACTCGTGCCTTACAGCAAGAACGGCCTGGGTTTGATTTCCGACACGGGCGCCTTTCTGTGTGGATTTTGTTTGTCCTTCCCCTCTTTCCGTATGGGTTTCCTTTTGGTTTTCTGGTTTCCTCCCATAGCTAAAAAAATCCACCCGAAAAAAATGACCTGCAAATTGCTCGATTGGAATTGCACGTAGGGATATTGCCCCCTGCTGTGAACATCTTGGCAGGACCCTCCTGATTAAGGGTCTTGTTGAGACGAGTGAGGCTTTGCTGGATCAGCAAGCCTAATCATTATACATAAATATTCGTACCTTTTACAGTTGACCAAAATTCGAATTATTTCATGGGTAATGTATATTGTGACTCTTCAAAATATTTGTTATTCTTTTGTTAGAGACACTGTTTAAAGGATTTTTTAATGGAAATATTAATGACCGCATCCAATGAACTTTATTTGCATATGTCAGGTGAGAGGGACAAACATGATGAATTAAGACGTATTTATGGTACAGACTGCGGTTTTGACAAATGGATGCACTGGCACTCCACCAGGTTCAGAGCGGACTTTGGCCCAAGAGAAAATGACCCCTGCAGGGCAACCAACACCACCCATTGCTTCAACTCCTGGCATTAAGCAATAATTAAGGGGTGGGATAATAACAGCCGATACAGACTGTAATTAGGATATCTCTAACTTGTGCATAGTTAGCTTGTATGTTGTGTTTTAAATGTCAGTGTGCTCAAGAGCCATGTGGTCTGTTTCTTAGTTATTTTTGTGTTGTATCAAAGTGTGTATAATACGAAACTATTTTGTCACCAATAAACTCTGCATTAGTTATGTTTAAAAGGGGAACAAATTTCTATGTTCCATTTAAGGGTTTGAATGGTCATCACAACGTATTATAGAGACCATTAAATGAAATGGATTGGCCAGTTAAAGTTTACAGTTTAAGGTTGCCTTGGCTGAGTTTTTTTTTAGAGTGGGAATGTTGACGTAATGGAGCTCATTGTCTCCGTTGTTCTAGTTTGTCTCAATGTTGCTCTATTAGCATTTGTATGGAAGTTTATGTTTGTGCCCGAAGAATCCTTTTTTACGTTCCCGTAACATTGCCACTGTTGACACTTTTGACGTAGGTTTTGGTGAATGGCCATTCTGTGCTTTTGTTGCTCCCATTACAAGCTGCGTCAGAGACGGACCTACCGGGCAGGTCTAATGTGTTGCGCCCAGGGTACGGGACATGTCGAGCCATCCGCATAAGATTACCAGCTTATTTTCATCGTTGCTAAATTCAAAACTTTTTAAAACTATATACTTTATTTTGCCAGTTAAGGCCCACTGAGCTATATAGCTCTTTTTCAGAAGTGACCTGGCCACAAATGATAGCTGATTGAAGTGGCTTACGTGAAAATTTAAAGCAGCCAAAATACTCGTCAACACATGTTTGTAAATGTGGAGGGAAAAACCAGAGGACCTGGATAAAATGTTACGCCACCACGGGGAGAACGTGCAAACTCCAAATATACATCCGTCAAGATCGGAATCTAACCCACGACCTCCTGTATACCAGGCGAGGTAGTTAACATCTCGCCACCATGGCCGGGCAGTCGGCATGGTGTTGCTGGGACATGGCCAGCATGTCTGCAACGAACTAAATAAGTACATTTTCATTTAAAATTGACAGTTTCGTTACGCATTTGTTTTGAGGCAAACTTTGCAGCCTTATTGAAGTTTTTCAGCCTCAGTTAATTTTCATTGTTATAATTATTGTCAGCTGCTCATCTGCCATTGCCAAAAATGTCTTCATTGATGTTTATGGCTGTGTTCATCCAATCCAATTTTCAGACAATATATACAAACTCTTTTGAATAACTTGAGTAAAAGCATCTCGCCTTGCCTGACGCCCCTTATAAAATATGTATTTTGTTATGTCAAGCAACCTAAGTATACTTGCCCCATATTTGTGATTTTTTTAAATGTTAAGAACAGTCAAGTACAACATGTTCACCGAACATATCAAGATATTAGAGGAACAACTGATCAACATCAGAACCCACCACGGATATTGAGTGATGAGATTAGCTCATGTGCAAGAGCTTAGGTGGATTTTTACATTGCATGACTGTGGTGGATGGCAAAGTCTGACAAATAGCCATAGTTTATTATGTATATGTTATCAGCTGGAGTTACAGCTGAAGTAATAAAATAATTCCGAAAGTACTTTGTAGTTGCATTTTTACAAAATACTTTATTTCAAACCTTTAAGGAAGCTATTCTATTATGACTTCCTTTACATTTTATGGAGTATTCAACGTGATCAGCTCTGTTATGGGACTTCACAATAATACTCTTATTTAATTTGAGCCATGTTTATTGAATTGTGAAATCCTTGTAATCTTTTAAGAAATTGTCACACTACCCTTTTTTTTTAAAGACACACTATTATTTTCACAACAATGCATTTGCATGCCTTGACACCCCTAGGCTGCGATCTTAATGCAGCCAGAACATACTCTTTGTTTCTTTCGGTAAAGTCACGTAGGTATAAAATAAAAATGAAATAAATCGCGACGTTTCGATCGCAACACAAGCAATCGTCATCAGGTGGGAAAACCACAGCAAGAATTTTTTTTGCTGATGTGGGAATTTTCTTGCTGTGGTTTTCCCATCTGATGATGATTGCTTGTGTTGCGATCAAAACGTAGTGATTTAATTTATTTTATTTGCTACCTACGTGACTTTACCGAAAGAACCAAAGAGTATGGATCCCTGCAGTCACGAAAACTTCACATCTAGATGGCAGCCAGACCAATTTTTCCAAATGAATGTGCAACAAAATAGCTATATATGTCGTCATCATCATCACCATAAGCAATGGTCAATCCACTGTTGAATGGATATCTTCCCCAGATGTTTCCGTTATTTGCGAATCAGCAATGTAAGAATCCACCATGCAGCCTCACAGGAGCTGATTTCACCGCTCCATATCTGTGGTGGATTCTACTCTTGGGCATGTTTCTCCCCTTTGCCGTTTTCCCCGTCAAAAAAAATTGTATTCGAGAAGCAAACACATTCATTTAGAACCATCCCAGATTTTGCTGAAGATATTGACTTGTTTGTACGTAAATCACAATTCAGGAAGGGCTCATTGGCTGCGGTTTGAGGGGATGGCACATTGTTCAGAGTCGTACACTTGTGCACAGTAGCTGCACAATACAACAATTGCAATGACTCACTAATGGCTTAGCCTCCGTACATTGGTGTAACATGATACGCATTCAACTACCTATTTAAAAAAAAATTGGAAGTACTCGTTTTGCAATGTGCAGTTTATCTTATTCTGTACCAATTTCACGTGTTGACAGAGGCACCATGAGTCATGTATGGTTGTTTAATAACCTTGCAAAAATAAACTAGGTGTTTGTTAAGTTTCAGATGTTCATGTGATACTAAATAGAGGTAAGTTTCATGGACGA